GGGGATGCCGTCCCAGAGGACAGGTGCTGCAACAGAGAAGGCAAGTTTCCTAGGTCCCAATAGATGACATTGTTTTATCAAAGGGACCTGAAGTGTACCAACTCTGTTCAGTCTCACTGGTTAGGCAGAAACAATTGGAGACAGGCAATACAGACTGAGTCTGTTCCTTCCCATCCAGACTGCATAGCCTCCAGACACTAAGAATGTAGACAGCCACAGAAATGACCTTGGAGAAACTCTGCATAAACAGTTACAGAAACAAAAGCCGACATGAAGACTGGGAAACAGAGAAAGTGTGAGGGAAAATCTCAGGTTGGCTCTACCTTAATTCATTGGGGTATACTGATGATAACTGAACCTAAACCAAGAATTAAGCTCATTCTGCAGATTCATGAAGGTGTTAAACAAAAGATGTGGGAGCACTGAGTTCCGAGACACTCCACAAATAAGGGCCTGTGGACTCGATCTCTTCTCCCATCAATACTGACTTGAAGTGACCATGAAGAGAGGAGAACCACCATAACTCGGTGCTTCCCACTCCAATCCCCACAGCTGGTCCAGAAGGATACTATGATCAACAGTGCTGAAAGCTACTAAGAGATCAAGGAGCAGTAGATGGATGCACCACACCCATCGCAATTCCACCAAAGGTCATTTGCAAGCGTGACCAGTGCTGTCTCCATAACGTATCCTGGTCTGAAACCAAACTGAAGCAGATCCAGACAATTCATTTCTTCCAGTATTTTCTGCCCAACTAGCTTTTCAACAATCTTCCCCAAAAAGGGATGGTTGGAGACTAGACAGAAATTGTCCAGAATCATTGGGTCCCATGATGGCTTCTTGAGCCTGCAACTTGCAGGTTACCTGTGGACATCAGTCCCTATTTTATAATCTGAAAGCATCTACAGATTGCATAACAGATATTTGCCAGCAAAATAGCCAATTTTCTGTTTTCTATTACTAGCACTACTGCTCCTATTTCTGGTGAAGTAAGAGTAGAGATGAATTCATTAGGCCTCCGTGGAAGAAAATGCATCTATTTCCTCTTGTTACCCCAAATACTGGAAAAAGTATATATATAAAAATAACCTACTGACCTGGGAAAGTCAGGTGATGGTGATTTTTAAAGAAATAGTTTCAACAGATATCATGAAATATAGGCCTATTGCATGATTAGGATTAAAAATAATGATTACATTATTAGTTAAAAGATAAAACTCAGTCTTAAATAGTTATAACTCTCTAGTTCAATTTGGGTTCATTCCTAAAAGAAATTTAGCAAATCCAGTTATGAGAATATAATGCTACTTATCCTAAATATAGTATGCTAAATTGGAGGCTTGTGGAAAGGATTGAAATTCTGCTGCTAATTAATGGGGAGGTTTGTGTTTATTTCTGCTGTGCATCTATCTGCTGCATAATCCTCCCTTGTCATTGAAGGCTTGGAGGAAGGACTGAAATATACAAAACTTCACTAGCTTTACTACCATTAAATGTTTTTAAAGAACCTCACAGAGTAGAAGATTTTTTTTCCAAGACAATTATTATTGGAAATAGAATTTGGAAGTGAATTCATTTCTCTAATTATTCAGTTGCATTCACCTACAAAGAACAGTAGCTTCAGTGGATCAGTTATGATTGTTTTTCAGAAAGGGGTACCAAGCAAGGATGCTGATTCTTATTTTATCTCGATTTATTATAGAAGAATTAGCACAGTATACTAGGAGAAATATGAAGATTCAAGGTCTGAATATAAGTACAAAACACCATGTAATTAATTAGTAGATGCTGATATTTCTTAAAAATTCAAATAGAAATATATCTCAATTGTTACTTGAATTAAATGAATTTCATGCAATGGCAGATTTAGAAGTTAAAGTTGATAAATTAGCTGCTAAGTTAATTAATATGATAAAGAATCAGGCATAGAACTTCCTGGATTAATTTTTACTCACTAGAGTCTTTTGTATCGAAGTATAAAAAGGCTTGCAATGTTGCAGTCTCATACAATCTTTGTGATAATTTGAGCTCCAGATCCCTGATGTGGATCATATTAAGACAATTAAAATTATTTGAAGAGAGAGATGATTTAAGACCAAGGAAATCTCAACAATATTAGACAAAACACTTAGATTGTATTAGTCTGGAAAAGTTCTCTTGGGACAATGACTTTGGTTCTGAACTTGAATCCCATGAAAATTATTTGTGGCCTAGAATTTCACTCCACAGGTGATATTTCATCTCTCTAAATTTACCCTATATAAATTACAACTCTTCTAGATTGTTTTGTTAGAGGTATTAACCAATAGAGACGTATTATCATGTCTTGTGAGAGTGCTTTTGATCAAAAAGGTTTTGAAGAAATTGGAATAATCACTCACCAATCATGAGTCCCAAAGTTGGTTTATAATCTATATTTTCAAAATTGATCCAGAAAATTATTATTGTTATTGTCAGATGCTAGACTGAGTTCATTTTTAATGAAGCTATTTAAAATATTGAAAATTATCTTGGCCTAATGAATTAATAAAGAACTCTGAAAAAGTTACAGTGAACAACAAATTAAATCAAATATGCTCACCATTTATAACTATATTTCTAAAGTTATTTCTCATAGATATCCTTCATGTATACAAATGTTCTGGACAGGAATATTGTATATGGATCTGTAAAACGGTTGTAGTTCTCCATATGCATTTTGGGGACACACAGACAGTCCCAATTATTTTTTAAAATAAAAATACTCTACATTTATCATTTTTAACATCTATCTGTACTATTTTTTTTTGTTTCCTTTTTGTCCTGTAAAATAAAAATAAGTAAAATTATCCCCCTCCATCTATGAGAGGCCAAAGTATCTTTTTTAAAAAGAACAACCCCACAACATGAGAACATATACCCATCCCTCATCTAGGAGATGGTACAGCTGAAATTTTGCCTGATCTTCCAACCATAGAATATATAAGTAAATGTATATATTTTACTTCAATCATAAGGGGAAAAAATTTGAGAAATCTAAGGTAGTACTCATTTTAAAACAGTTTCTATCAAAGGGTACTACGCAAAACAAACAAGGCATAGAGAAAAGTATATTTCTAAACACTTTTATCACTAAAGCTGGCATCTTCTAAAATCTGTACAGTATAATATCATAAATAGTCATTAGAATTCACCAACAAGTTTCTTTAAATTTAATGTCAGAATGCCAGTTTAAATCTTCATTTCCTATTTGAATACAAATTAGTTACTTGTCATTTTGATAGGTATATTATAACTAAATGGCTAATTTGTTTTATCCTGCCCTTTTTAAAAATACTAATGTATTCTGCTTGAAAAGTAATCATAGTTGTCACAATTTAATTCAAGTATGTGGATCACAGAGTAGTTGCTTAGATTTCAACGCTAAGTCTCTTTCCCTCAATAAGGGACCAATAGAATCCATGTCTTTATGTATCATGATAAAAATGAAAAACTGTGTTCTTATATATTGTATTATGCAAATGTACTAATTATAGCTAATAAAATAGTTCACAAAATAATTTCCTTCCCTTTTCTTTTTTCCAGTGTTTTATCAGTGTAAATTAGTAATGAGGGGAAGGGATTCTTATTGCCTGTTATAAGATCAATTAATGCAGAACTCCAAATACCTGGAAGGAGTTCAGAGAAGTTCAGAAAATTTTAGAAGCTACCCCATTTTATAGTTTCAAATTTCTGTTCTCTTTTGTCCTACATTCCAAAATTGGCTGCATTATTCAGTTCCCCATCATGCTATCTTTCTATATTTTCTTTGAAACTCAACAGTCTTGACTCAAAAGAATAATAAATTTCAATTAAGAGATTCATTTTTTACATTATGGTAAAATCATGTGTGATATTTATGATCTGTGAAAGCCAATGTATTTTTCACAGATCTCTTGAAAAGAGAACTTCAACAAGCATATGGTTTTAGTTAAACCATAATGTCATATATAATAACTGCTGACCTAAGCCTGAATAAGCTAATCATTTTTATGTTTCCTGAAAGCATTGTTTATATGTAGACTATTTGAAATACTTAAGGCCTAATTTGGCTTGATTAAAATTTACATATATTTTGCTTTATTGCCTTGCTTCTTCAGTTCCTAAACCCTTTAGATGTTTAATTCCTTCAGATTCAAACTAAGAGGAAATTATTAAATCTACTAAGTGCTATGATCTGTAATTGAAATGAATCAATTTGCCAATGCATTTGCTTGCTAAGTTTTCTTTCAGATCAAAATATACCATCATATTCTGAGTTAGCCTTAATTCTAAATTATAAGTCTTCTAGCTTAATGATAACCATTACATTTCAATATTACATGTCCTCAGGAATTTAAAGAAATAATTTAGTATAGAAACACTAGATTTAAACCAACTTAGTAATGGGTCCTGTTTTCATAAAGCTATGTATTGGGAGGCATATGATGGTTGATATCCATACAGTTTTACTCTATAATCCACACTCTTCTTGCTCCAGATCTCCCCCTTCCCAAAAAGCATATATAGACTTGAGATCTGGCTGATATTTCTTCCATAAAGAGAGCTAGTGTGATATAGTGGGTAATGTGTTGTTGAACAACAGGGAAAATTCAGGTTAAAATCCACCCTCAGCTTTGGAAGTGCTATTTATACCTTCTTGAGCTTCTTAAGGAAAGACAGGGTATAAATACCACTTCAAAGTGGCTTTTACAATAATCTTGTTACTAAACAAGACTTGTCTTAACTATCTATATCAAGTTGCCAAACCTCATATTTTTTTATGACAAATACATATTGCTAAAGAAAAAAAAACATTGTAAATGAAGAACTAAAGAACCCATTAGCAATATTTCAGTCTGATAGATTTATTGCATAGTGAAGAGGGCAAGACTGCCTTTCTGTTTAATGCTGTTATCATCAACTTCTATGTGGCTTTCAAATCCATGCCACAGCATGTGTAAATTTACTTACTGTTTCTTTTTATTTCCCTCTTATATTAGCTGGACACTGTGGTTCTCCAGATCCAATTGTAAATGGTCACATTAGTGGTGATGGTTTCAGTTACCGTGATACTGTGGTATATCAATGCAATCCCGGTTTTCGACTTGTTGGCACATCTGTTCGGATATGCTTACAAGATCACAAATGGTCTGGGCAAACTCCGGTTTGTGTTCGTAAGTTCACTTTTCATCTGATATGTCCTAAGCATGTAGTTGGGTAACAATGATGAGTTATAATAATTTGCACATGATTGAGATTCATATGTGCAGGATGAAACATTGATATGATTATATTACACTGATGTGATAATGGTGACAGCTACTGTTCCTGTTGCGTAGGTCTGGGAGAGCTTCCATCTCTCATATGACTATGCCATGAAATCTGGGCTATAACTCTGTTCCTACCCTCTTCTGCGAACAATTCCATAATACGTGATTGGACTGCTAATGTATTTGATATAGTTCAAAATATAATAGAGTCAAGCAATCTTGATACTCTATTGTATTAACTGGTCTGACTTTCAATGTTCAAATAAAAAAAGCCAGTTCAAATCTTAGCTTGCATGTGCACTCTTTAATACCCCATCACTCCCTCATTAGGCTGTATAGGAATAATAGTACATACCAGCTAGAGGCAGAGAAAGAGAGAGAACACATTTAACTTTTAGGTGAATGTTTCATATAAACAATTATATTACTGCATATATAAAGTGTAACTTCTTTGCTGAAATGCTCCTTATTGTTATTCAGAGTGTTGTAAAAGAATTATATTACAGAGTGATGATAAGTTTGAATGATAAATGCATTTGACAGAATGTAATTTATACTTAATATGTAGTTGTTAAATAGCATACTTTAACAATTTGATATGACTTCTAATTATGAACATGCATAATAATCTGATTTGAAAGTTATTAGTTTATTCAAAGTATTTAATGCAGCTGCATGGTTTGGGCATGTTGATATGTGGTATATAAATCAGGAATACTTTATGGCAATAATATTCATTAGAAACTGGGTGTTGTGGTTATGCGAATGATAGTTGTAATTATCCTGGGCCACAATCTTTGTTTATTTAATCAACCTCTATGTCACTCAGTCATGAATCTAGATAGGACATGTAACATGCAGCTATTGTAAGGGAGTCCCTTGCGTAAGAGCAGTGAAAGAACTACAGAATAAAAATTCATGGCAATTTTTTTCTGAGTTTCAAATGCAACAGTTGCAGAGTGTTGATCTGTCAAGAGGTTGGCAATGTGTGACAATAGTAATGATGATGTGGTAAGACTAGACACAAGGTCTAAGACCTTTTGTTTCTAAAAGGCATCACAAAAACAGCAACTGTCAAGAGTAATGAGGGGTGTAAACAGGAGCTGACTGAGTGGAATATGCATTTGTTGAAAAGGACAATAATCTAAGCACAACTGTCTTCACTATTGCAATTTTTACTGACAAACCTAATTTTATATTGTAACAACATATCATATATAATCTGTTCTGGCAATTTACCAAATTATAGGATTAATGGTGAAGAACATGTCAGATAGCAAAAACCTTACTATGTTATTAGCCCAATGCAGATCATTCAGGACAATTGATTTCTCAGTAGCTATCAGTTATAATAGCTCACATTGGAATAACTATATGCAAGGCAATATGCCTCTGACTATCAGATTGCCATTATATATATATATATATATATATGTATGTATAAAACACAGAAAAAAACAGAGCGAAAGAACAGCTATGATTATTATACTTCTGGATTAACAAGACAGAATGCTGGGCTAGCAACATAGTCTGATCTGGTAAGACAGTATTTATGTTTCCATTTTACCAATTTGATAAATTGCCACAATGCAATAAACAATACTTCTTTGTTACATATAAGAATTGCTAACCCAGGATTATATCAAATTGTATCAGTCTAGCAGGAAACTAGACACCATTGGCACATCAGATTATCCCTCCCTTCTGCATATTCCTCTTAATCTGACCTTGGGGTTTGGGAAATCCTCTGGAATACCTTCCAGGGATTAAGGGGGTGCAATAGAAAGAAAAATGTTGTTGCACAAACAGAAGTCAGCTTGCATGACTTTGGGTGAAGCCAACAATCATTAATCATTTTAAGACATTTTTTCAAAACTAAAAATCTACAGTAGCAGCAACCCAATGATTTGTTTGAAAATAAGCCCTTTTATCCAGAAAAAAGACAAAAATAAACAGAGCATAGGGATAATTTCCTATAGGGAAGAGGGGATCACTGGGAACAACCCCCAGTTCACCTTCTAGCTCTCTATACCTGATACTGCAGCAGTCAATTTGGGAATGCCAAATTCCCCTGTAACAATCATGACTTGAGATGGATCACAACATATTCTCAAAATATCAAATGTGCTCATAGTTTTCATATATTGTTGACCTAATCTCTCCTTTCATCCATAACTTCTGGTTTATAACATGGCAGCATATAACTTATACTCAAGACAAGTCATTGTCTTAGGTTTACAAGGTACTCTGAACTTATTTTCAACAGCAATCACATGTGGCCATCCAGGAAATCCTTCGCATGGTGTGACCAATGGCAGTGAGTTCAACTTGAATGATGTTGTCAACTTCACCTGCAATACAGGATATTTACTTCAGGGTGTCTCCCGAGCACAATGCCGAAGCAATGGACAGTGGAGCAGTTCTTTACCTAGTTGCCAAGGTAAGTTAGCAAAAAACCTATGCAACTACTTTTTCTTCATTATCAAAAAAACTAGTACAAAAGCAAACATCCATCCTACTGAAAAATGCTTCTGTACCACAGTCAATATACCCTCTTTACCACTGTAGCATCTTTTAAATTGGGGAGGGGGGGCATCTCAAAAAATTGCACTATCCCAAATAATAAAAATCCTGGATGTAAATAACCTGATCCCCAAGGCTGCTTATGCTCCCCAGATTAAAGTTGCTTCACAACTGTAATTTAAATACATAGCAAGTAATCATAACAACTGCATACAGTTTAATTGTTATTAATTTAAATTAATTTAAATGCAAATAAAATTCAGTTTTTGTTTTGATCCTGCCCATTTCATTATCCTCACCCTACTACTTCTTGGAGCATATCCAGAAGCATTCCATTGAAACACATAGTAGACCTGTACCCCCTAAAACTACTTTCCTGGAATGATTGATAGTAAGAATAGATACACACAACAGTTATGATCAGAATGATCATCCTAGTTTTATCAGTAATATGAGTTCAAATTATTTTCATGTAAAATTGAAAGATGAACATTTTCACAAGATCTGGAAGCCACTTCCTTGTATGAATTAAATACAGTGATAATTAATGGTGGTTAATTCGTTTTTTAAAGTTTGCTGTATCTTATGCCATTAGAACTATGATTGATTTCCACACTAGCAGTTACAGAAGCAAAAGACATTTAGAGACACCTTTTTCCCCTATGTAAATTGCATTAGTTCTATAGAGAGAAGTACCTCTGTGTATCAATATTTCATTCTCCAGGACCAAATATTACCAGAGCAAAAGAATTACAAAAATTACGTGAGAAAAAAGAAACATGTGCATACTGTATATTACTTCCATGATCAAATTAGCATCTGAATTCTTGCTGAGTTTTAAAAAGACCAAACAATTATAATATAGTATGAATGCAGCTTTCTTAAAATCAGCCCAAGATTTCAGGTATGAAAATATTTTCTGAAGGTGAATTTGCAGAGTCCTATTTTATATGTCACTAAACATTAGGATGTTGATTTTTTCCTTAATATTTTGCATATATTCAAAACTGTCACAGTGAGACCTAGTGCCTACTGAAAGCATTAAGTGATAGGGTCATAATCTATTATGCAAATTGTGCAATCATCTGAGAAACATAATAAAAAATCCACTGTAGTGCTTGTCTTACTCTTATTATTAGTATTGTACAAGAAAAGGTTTCCTTTTAATTATAATTTAAAACTTCAGGATACTTAGATACAATCTTAATTTATTAACTCCCCAAAAGTGCAAGATATAACAGCAATGAAAAAAAAATGTGAAAATGATAGCAGGTATACTTCTGATATGCATATAAAGATAAACCAAAGTACTGCAAAACAAAATACAGTGAAACAAAAAACACAAACAGTATGAGGAATGAAGGAATTGGTCTAGCCAGGTCTCAAGAATACATTCCAAGTCAGCTCATTAATTCACTTGGGCATGGTTTTATTCCACAGTGATTTCACAGTTACCAAGAACAGCTGGAGACAAAGGTGCTAGACAACTCAGCCACCTGGGCCCAGGAATGGGACAACTTTATTTATTTATTTATATTTCAAATTTGGACACTGCCCATCTCACGAGGATATACCCTGAGTGGGTATAAACTTATTTTTATGTATTTCTTTGCAGCCATTTAATGGTCACCTGTATATTAGTAGCCTAGATATACAAGTAGTCCTACTTCTGTCTTTTCAAGATTCAGTCTTAGTTTACTAGTTCTTTCCATTCATTCTTTTTAAGGAATACTTAAAGTTAACTTGCTAGCGTAAACTTTTAGCTGTGCTTTTAATGCAACCAATCATTCTCCTGCAATATTAATTCCAAAATAAACCAACAGAGTTGCTACCAAAAAAAAAAAAAAATCTTATGTTATTCCTTCCTCTGTACCTTAAGTGCCTAATTCAACATACCCAATATAAGTACAAATAATTTTTATAATTCTACATATCTACAAGTAGCTACAGATAATGCATGATGAAAAATAATATGTTATTGGAATGTTAAGAAGTTACTGACTAATTTAACTATATACTGCAAGCAGATGGAAAGGATTCATCAGATGATTCCTATGTGGCAAGTGTTTTATAGCCTATAGTAGTTTGAACCTGAGTGAGTATAAACCACTTGGACACACACCAGTTACTTTGATTGCAATTCAGAGCAGCTAAATTCACATTTTAATCTAGAAGTAACTTTGAGTATTCCTCAAATATAGAGACTCATATTGATATCTTTACTATTGGATATAGTTGTTAATAACAATAACAAATGTGTATGAAGAGGGGTCCTATATGTTTGGTAAGTCATAGAATATCATTCACTCTTCACATTTTTACATAAGATCAGCACAGTATATAAAAGTTTTATCAGAAAACAATTTTTGTGAAACTGTGACACTGAACTAGGACTACCAGATCTGGTCTGCAAAACTCCAGAAGACCACCAGATGGCAGCAAGGTTACAGAAAACTATGTCCTGCCATCTGTTGGTCAACCAAAGATTTGTAGCACAGATCTGATAGCCCTAATATCAAACCTGCCTTATAAAAATCTGTAGTATACTAATAGTTTTCAGTGACTATATTCAGCATTTCATCTGAAACCAATGAAGGATTATGGCACTGTTTAGGCATTTTGCCCTCAAGGTTTAAAAACAAAGCTAAGCCAGGTTCTTAGGTCCACAGGGCAGATCTAAGTATCTCTGCCACTCTCTTTTCCCTTCCTCAAGACTAAATATTAAATGGTCACATTTATTTCCCCTTGAAATCCTTAGTAGCTGTCTTTGGAATAAAGCAATCTCCTTCTGCTCTCTTGCTTGATTTATTACTGACTCCCTTGGGTAAAAAACAATCAGGAAAATCAGCCAGTTCAGCTCTATCTTCCAACCAACTTAAACTCAAGCTTCATTTCATTCCTACCCACCCCAGCTCTTCTTGGGAGCTCAACTGCTTTTTATATGGGGCATTTTCATGATAATGTCAGCTTTATTTATATATGTCTTGTAATATCACTTTTCAAATAAATCACAAATAGTTTTTCTAAAGAAGCAAAAAGATTAATATTAAATAGGAAAATTATTCATCTCTTGGGCAAGGAAAATCATCTGTAGTAACCAAGTTAGAAAACTTTATCTTTGTTTTCTTCTTGCTGTGATGGACACAGTGCATTAATTCCAGAAAAAAAAGATTCTTCCCTCTGAAGCCAGTATGCCAATTCCTTGCTTTGGGGAGTAGATTGGAAGAAAAGATACTGTACATTTCATGAGTTTCCTCTAGAATGAACTCCATTTTATGGCTCTATTTGGGAGAATATGGACTTTGTCAGTAGATACTGTAGATTTAGTAAATGGTTGAGACACAGAAAAGTGGGAACTTACTCTTCTGTATTTGCTTGCCTGGCAAATACTTTTCTTTCTATTCTCCTTGGAAGAGAAAGAACGACACTTTCAGAAACCCTCTCATATGTGTTAGATATGCAGAGGTAATGCTAATTTATTTTTCTTTCTGCCTTTGTTGTTTTACTGGGCAAAGTTAAGAATCATTAGAAATTTTATTTGGGAAAACAGAGTAGAACTGGTTGACTACCATTCTGTACATGCTTGTCTGTTCTTCTTCCCTACCTTTGTTGTTGTTGTTGTTATTGATAATGGGGAAAATAAGAAGGGACAATACAAACCTGTGCTCAGCTTGCAGTTTAGTTCTATCTATGATTTAAAATGTTAGACTCTCTAGCTCTAGCCACCCAGGTAGGCTTCATAGGAATTTCCCAGAGAAAACCTGACATTTATTTTTCTTTTTAAAAACTGCTTTGCAGAAATAATTGTACTGATTGTACTGATTGATTCTCCTATACTATTTTCTAATCTGATTTTCTCCTCCAAATCCTGCTATTTTCTTCACTGTGGAAAACATATATGCAATGGTTCAAATACAGAAGGGAGATCAAAGCTTCAGTCCTGACTCAAATCTCTACTGAGCTGAAAACACAGTATAATAACTATGAACAAATCTTGATCCCAGAGCTAAAGCTACTACATAGGATGGTGGTGAGAATACATGACACAACACTATACAGAATTTCATGGAAAAAGAATACAGTGATATTAAAATGGAATAAATTAATGGTACCTGCTTCTTTGGCTCTTTCCTTTTCTATAAGTTGCAAAGAAGAGTGTAAAATGTTTATGTGTGTTCTTAATAATAGCTCCTGATCTTTCTTCTGTGACTGATAAATGAAAATTGCATAGGAAATTTGCATGAAAGATGTGGAAAGTAATCAAATGGGCAGGGATAATGGTTCCTGATTACCTGCAAGACTGTAGTATCACAGTTGACACTCATTAAAACAAACAAACAAACAAAGTTTAAAAAGAGAGAACACAAAAAACCCAAAATACAAAAAAGGGCCAAGGTTTTGTTTTGTTTTGTTTTCAAAATAAATTCTTAACCATTTTGGGAGTCCCAAAAAGTGCATCCATATCATTCTTCTATGCAAAGACTGGCATCCAATGTATTAAAACATGAATTATAGTACTGTGACAAGATAAAATCCCTTGTAGCAGCCTGGCTAAGTTCACAGGGTACAACTGTTTAGCAATTATAGCTAACACTATCTTTCAGGGGTCACTTTTCCTGGTGTCCTTTCCTTAATCCCAGTCTATAAGAAAATTAAAAGGAACTACTATAATAACATCTTCTGGTCCTGTAGTGTAAAAACATGTGACTATATTTTCATTCCTCCTTTCCTGCTTTGGGAGATAACTCAATCTCACAAGAAATAAACAAAATAAAAACTCAACAATATATTAAATCCAGTTTGCAAAAATACATGCAACATTTGTGGCAGATCACAGGATGATGTTGGTCTGCTGTAATTAATGAGCCAGGGCAGAATCCATCCTTCCAAATTAGATTTCAGCTTACAATAAATTAATAAAAGGTAAAATAAATCTTCTTAAATATAGTCACATTACACAGAATGCCATACTTATGCAGAGAAATAAAAACAATAGACAATAAGTCTTAACTACAAAAGCAGAGTACAATAAAAATACATCATCCTGGCTAAACGTAGGCTATTTCTTCATAAATAGAACCCTCTCAATGCAAAAATCCTTGGTTTCTTTTCCCTGGACTCCCTCCAGCTTCTTGGAGTAATTCTAGCATTTTATAGGTCTGTTGCAGAGACTTGTTTTCCCAGCTCAGAAACAGCAACTTCTTTTTCCATTTCCCCTGAGCTCTGCAAGTAGATTTTAGTAGGATAAAGTATTTTTCTTAGTTAGGAGAGGGGGGGGGGTTGGATATCTGACTGAGCTTATATGCTAAAATAATTTCTGAATATGAATTAAAACTCAGATATTGGCTGACTGTCGGTTAATGTGGAGTGAGAGGTTTTCAGCCTGTACATTCACCATAACCTCACTTAGGTCACCTATCAGAAAGCAGTGAAAACATGACTTTTTAGACAGCCCTTGGAGACTAAGAGATGCCCTTTGATTCCTATCCAGTTGGTGATGGCTGTTTTGAACTTTACTGACTTTGTTAGAGTTACAAGAGATTTATGATTTTTATTTTATGATTTGATTAAGTAAATTCTCTAGAGATGTATAGCTGTGGCAATTAAGGAATATTAAAAATAAACAGATAAACTAAAACCAAGATTTTAAAAATATACAAGGATTTAATAAATACTTTTTTTTAAATCCATTAAAATCTGCTATGCAGATACTGAGGAAATTATACATTAGTTTAATGCATCAGTTTAAAGGATTTTCAGTCTAACCACTTAAGTCACCATTGCATCCTTGACCTATAACAAACACAAACATAAGGAAAGAGCAGAATTTGTCTAGAAGGCTAATAAATATCATTGCAGCATGCTGTTGAAGGATACTTTTAGTTAGCACAAGTTAAAGACTGTATTTGCAGTTGTTTTGACTTTGTGAACTAAACCATAAAAATAATCAGCTGTGATATCTGTATTGTCCACTGAAGCCAATGGGCTTAGACTAAACACATCTGTTTAAAAGTTTGCAGATTGCAGTCTTAATTACTAATGTTGAGTTCTTCCTGGTAAAAGTACAAGACAAACTTAAGCCAAATGGCAATTTAAAGAAGGTGAGAATAAACTAAAAGAAAGAGAAAAATATAGCAGTCCACTGGCATTTTGTGTAAAAAACCACTACAGTGTTGTGGTAACTGAAGACATGAAGTGAACCTTCTTTATTATATGCTTGTTCATATTCCTTCCAGGCATCCATTTACCCAGTTTTCCACATTGTTCATAATGCAGTAACTGTCTACTATCCCCATCAGTGTTTTTATAAACTAAAACACCCTAAATATTTTATCTTTCTTTCCTTACACTCCAGTCATGCTATGCTTTGTGAATGTTTTGTCTTTATACATTAGCTCATATCATTCTTTCAATATCAGCCATGCTGTTGTTATTTAAAAGATGGAATTATTAATTTAAAAGCATTTATCTTGTAATAGAACCATATAAAGCAGCTATCATGTAACAGAAACTGAAAACTGTTTACTTGTTGTCTCTTATATACACAACTGAAAGGCTTTAGTGGGTTATTGTATTGCAAACCACAGAAAGTCTTTTGATTGCCATGGAAAAGAAGGAAGGGAGGGAGGGAGTCTGCAATTGGAGCAGAGGTGCATAGGATACTGGCTTTCTCAATCTTCATTAGTGAGAAAATTTCTCTCTGATTTACAGTGGTGAACTGTTCAGATCCTGGCTTTGTGGAAAATGCCATTCGTCATGGACAGCAGAATTTCCCTGAATCTTTCAAGTATGGAACCAGTGTGGTTTACCACTGTAAGAAGGGGTTCTATCTTCTAGGATCTTCCACTGTAACATGTAAAGCAAATGGTTTATGGGACAGATCATTACCCAAATGTTTGCGTAAGTACCCAACAGCTGTTTCAGTTTCTTTCATCAGAAGGCCAGAAATATCATTTATTACAGGGATGCACGTATACTATTGTTACTTACAGTAAATTCATTGTGTGACAAAGTTTATTTTAATTTTCACCCCATACCTGCTTGCCCCCTCCCCCCCACTTTATTTGGAACACTGAGTTGGATAGTTCACCAAGGAAATCCATAGACAATACAAAAGTAACAGAGGATAAATGGTTGTTTATGTGAAAGTAACCAAGAAATATGTTCACTATGTTTACTATGAAAGTATCCAAGAAAATTGTTCACTGTATTCAAGTAACAAGTAATGGGGATCATGGAAGGAATGTATCAAGTAATGGACTCAAGTTCTCTTATCCATTCTTTTTTGCTTTATGTACTAACTTCATAATTATAAACTTTTTCAAACTGCATTGCTGTTCTTCAGAAAATGAACACTTATCTTTCTTTTGCTCATCATAGCAATATCTTGTGGACATCCTGGAGTTCCAACAAATGCAATTCTATCAGGAGATAAATTTACATTTGGATCTGTAGTTCACTATTCTTGTGCAGAAAGGCAAACTCTCATGGGAAACTCTAGCAGAGTGTGCCAGGAAAACAGCCGCTGGAGTGGAACACTCCCTCATTGTTCAGGTAATTTTGTGAGGAATTAATTGTGACCTTCTAATTTATTTGTAATATTCACTTGCTATTTTTAACAGAAGAAGTTGCATTATTTTATTTAACAAAAATAGCTTCCATGTTATTTAATTAATTGGTGAGCCACCTTATGAAGATAGCTTAATTCAACAGTTAAGGTCTTTAGTATGTCTCTTGATAGGCATGAAGAACTGAAACCATTTCATCTGATTTCATTCTTACCTTACCACTCACATATGTACCAATTTTGGATGATACTTCTTGCATCTGAGTTAGCAGACTCTAGTTCAAAAGAAAAAACACCAGGAATTGAGCTGACTGATAAAAAATGGCTGTATCCAATTTATTATCTATGATCCATACACTACAGATTTTATCCAAAGTTCATCTCTTCAAGACAAAAGTGTACAATCTCCTGCAAGGTTTCATAGCAACATGCAATCCTTGAAAGTCTGGTGTGGTCCTAGAGTGCTTCCCAAAGTTACAATGGAACAGTACCAGAAGGGGAAATTACTAAATACATTTATATCATTCATTTAATATATTTGTATACTACTTTCTGGGTAGACACATCTCAAAATGACTTACAAGTAAAAAATAAATTATTTTTTGTTGAACATAAAATATAATTATAAAATACAGTAAATGAAAGCAATCTAAAACCATTCATTAAAAAGGAGGCAGGGAGAAGAAAGCAAAACAAAATCATTCATCCATGACTTTCACATAGGAAAAGGCTGGGTGAAGAGTTAAGTCTTTAGTACATTCCTGAAAGATTCAGTAGAAGGTGCCTCACAAATTTCATGGTGGAAAATTTCCAGAGAACAGGAGTCAATATGGAAAACACCCACAAGATGACAGTCCTTCAGACTTGGCACAGGCACCAATAATTTCATCTTAGCATTCATTCATTCATTCATTCATTCATTCATTCATTCATTCATTCATTCATTCATTCTCAATCATATTTATATAGCTGCCTGTCTCACAATCAAGTTACTCTGGGAGGCATACAACAAAGTTAAAAACAAAATATAGAAATTAATATTATTAATATTAAAAACTTTACAATAATAAAAGGCACACAACCAGGTCTTGAGGGACCTCTGGAAAGCTAAAAAGGATGAGGTCAGCTTCATCTGGGATAGAAGGGTGTTCCATAAAGTGGGTGCCACAGCAGAAAAGGTCCACTGCCTAGGACCTTGAAACTCACTAGTCGATGGGACCTGCAGTATGCCCTCTCTGCTGGATCTGATGGGATGGGCAGATGTAATCGGTCCCTCAAATAACCCAGCCACATGCCATGTGGGGCTTTAAAGGTCAAAACCAGCACCTTGAATTGGACCTGGAAGTAGACTGGTAACTGATGTAGCTCTCAGAGCAGAAGTATAATGTGCATTTTTCTGGAAACACACATAACTGCCCACACCCCTGCATTCTGCATCAGCTGAAGCTTCTGGATATACTTCAAGGGCAGCCCCATGTAAGCAAATTACAGTATAGCATCAACCATGGTATCCTTCTGGATTGACTCAAAGGATTGGGGGTGGGCAGCACAGTGTTATGCTGGTTCAGCTTCTTTCTTGGGGGTCGATTCCAGTCGGTGGTGAATGGGGGGAGAGATCTGCCCTTAGCCCCTACTGTTTGGGGTGCTACAGGGGTCAGTGATCTCTCTGCTCCTATTTAACATTTACATGAGGCCACTAGGTGAGCTGATCATCAATATGCTGATGATACTCAATTATACATTTATACCCCTGGCAAACTAAGCAGTGCTGTGGGCATCTTATCCCAGTGCCTGGAGGCTGTGAGGATCTGAATGGAGAAGAACAGATTTCAACTGAACCCTGGCAAGACTTGAGTAGCTTTGGGTTTTGGGGCCCACTGGTTCTAGGTGATTAGGATGTGAGTGACTGTGAGGTAGAGCCTCTTGATCTAGGAAGGGGTGCAACTGATGCACAACACAAAGTTGATCAAAGGCCCTCCTAGCCCCGACTACCATTGGCTCCTTGAGCAGGAGTCATAAGTCTCGAAGAACCCCCAGATTGCACACATGGTCTGTTTGGGGCAGTGTATCCCCATCAAGCACCAAAGATGGGATCACCCTAGTGATGTGTGTGTGTGTGTGTGTGTACTGGCCATGAGATACTTTGCCTTGCCATGTCTCTTTTCTATTCTTCACTGGTCTTTCTTATAAGCCAGTTTGGTCTCTTCAATATTCAGTAAGTCTTCATGGTGTACTAGCTTCAGTACATCTTCTTCACTGTCCTTCAGATATTCTTCTAATGC